TATCTTTTTCATTCGAATATTTATTGATTTTATGAATACTGGATCAAGTCCATTTACTCGATAACTGGAACATCTAACATAAAATGAAGATCTTCTACCCTTATGCTTGTTATTATAACAGTCCTACTAGGGATTTCTCTGATCTATTAACTCTTTTATTTAAAACACAACACACAAGCTGATATAACTAAAATTTGCGGTAAAAATTGTATTTTGTATCATAAATTTTAAGTATTGTATGTAGAGTTTGAGATTTCTTTCGATTTTCTTTATATTCTATTAAATATTCCTGTCATTTTCCAACAAGGTTTTACATTATCTGAATAAAAATAAAGTTTAAAATTTAGAATTTTAAAATCTTCATTTATAGTTTTAATTGTTTCTTCATCAATACTATCTAAAGGAAATGTAATATCAATATTAAGAGTTTTTAATTGAGATGTATGTGTATCAAACAATTGAATCCATATATCACTTTTAAGTAAATCTATATGATATTGTTTAGAAGAAGAAAAAGAACATTGTAATTTACATTGATGTAAAAATGGTGCATTACGAAATATATTAAGAAAAAGATCTGTTTTTAAACCATCTAATCGACAATTAAGTTTACGAATTGATGTAAAATAAAGTTGAGAAGAATGAGTTTCTAATGAACTAAAACTAGAACGAAATTGAAAATAATGTAAATAAGGTGAATAATAAAGTATTGATTGAAGAGTTTTCCAATTACAATAAACAGTTAAAATAAGACATTTAATATTTGTTGATTGAAATTTTAATGGAAAATTTAATTGATCATATAATTCAACCATTTTTAAACTTGATTTTGATTCATGTAATTCAAAATGTTTTAATCGTTGTAATTGAAATGCACATTCAAGTACTCGTACTCCGATATTTGATGATATATTTGGTATATCTTGATTTCGTATATGTAGTGAAAGATGTTCGAGATAACATGGCGGCCAATTATGACTACTTTCAAAAAGTAATAATGGATTATCAACATCACGAAGTACAAGTGAACGAAGTGCTGTAAATTGAAATATTGATGGATTATATGGCCTAGTTGGAACATTAAGTGAAACAACTTGTGTTAAATTAATATGTGGTAAAATCCATCGAATAAAATAAGAATTATTTAATCGAACATGTAATCGAACATGACCATTAGCTAATAAAGCTGGTAAACAAGGAATAAGAAGACAAAATGAATAAAATATTTCATGAACGTTAAAATAAGATAAAATTTCAATAATAACATCGATACACAAATCATGAAATGTCGTAATTGTGGTCATGTTTTTTTCTTTCAAATAGAAAATGTTTATTTTTCTATTTATATGGCAGAATGCGTTGTCATGTTTATTATTTTGTAAAAAAATGCCTTGTCATGCTTGTTCTTGAATGCGTTGACTTGATAGACATGTGATATTTTTTTGTTTTTTTTTTTACAGGGTATATCAGATTAAAACGAGAAACGGTGTTGGTTAGACCAGAATAGGGATGTCAGTTGTGTACCACATCCCTGCTCACCTTCGAAAATTTTCATTTTTCCTCGGCGAAACTAAAAAATTTTCTTTTGTATTCTTTTAGAATAAAAACTTCACCCGTCCGAAAAAACTCGTGACCTCTTCTCTCTCCGGCGTAAGTTGTTTGGAACCAACGTTGATGAAAAAAAGCAAAATGTCGCTATTCTGTCATAAACAAAAGAAACCTTGACGATTCGTTTGCATGAATAGATAAATGACCTTAAATAAAGATACGCTATTAAATATTAGTTAAGCAATAAATGATAATGAATTTAGTACAGCGTAAAATTCATTGTCAGATTCTTTTAACATATATGTTATAAAACATTTTATTTTCTTATCATTCATGTTCTTTTTGATAACATAAAATTTTGTAATGAAGAGATTTTTTTTTTACAAAGATTTCATTTTGTTTAAATGTCATTCTACTTCATCTGAAGTGTTAATTTTTGCATTCGAATTCTTTCTACTTTGATTGCATAACAGTTACCTTTGGCGAGTGTATTCACACATAGTTCTTGCTATTGCAAAGTTATATTTGATTTAATATAGTGCATGGTTTAATTGCA